ATCTTTGGACAGGTTCCCAATGAACAAAATTAAGTGTTCTGGAATTCCCATTCTTTGCAGTGTTACCCATGATTTGTTATAATCCAAACAGTTGAATGCCTTTGCATGGTCAGTAAAACACATAGGTACCTATAGGTACATTTATCTATAGGTACGTGTAAATACAAATATGTGGGTGTAGTCACATATATTCAGCGAAGACACAAATAGGGATACTTCTCAGACATAACCAAACACCTTCCAGCATTGGTTTTCTGGGTTTGAAGGCTTAAGACCATAGTCTCATGAGACGACTCAGTTACAGCATAACATAATTCATAAAAATCATGATCTGCATCCTAGTAAAGTGAGTAGCATCTGAAGTCTTAAGAGCTTGTGAGCGGCCATCTAAGATACAACTATGGGTTTCAACTCGCCAGGAGCAAAACAGTAAAAGGCAACCAAAAGCACAGAGGAGAAACAAGTCTACAAGAGCCACAACCTCATCTACCCTGAGACCAGAACAACTAGATGGTGCACAGCTACCACTGACCATTCTAACTGGGGCCACAATAGTTGGTCCTGGATAGATTGGGAGAAAAATATGCAGCAGAACTCAAATTCTTATTTAAGGGGGAAAAAAAGCCAGACAAACTGGAACAATAGTGAATAGAGGACCCCGAGACTATCGCTCTCAGACACACTTTAAACCTAGAACTGAGCCTATCCGGAGATCACCTCTTAGCGAAAAAGCAGAGTGGCACCCAAAATAAAGGACATTACCCGTAAAATTGGTGCCCTGCGTAAACCATCAGTATGAGACCAAAAAGTCAACTATTTCTCAAAAGTAAAGATGAGAAGATAAAGGAGCCGGGAGACTAGTAAAGGGAACAAACAAAACAGAGAATGTTGACATGTTATTATAAATGTAACTAATGTCACTGAACAATTTGTGTGGAAATTTTTAAATGGGAATGTAACTTGATGTGTAAACTGTCAACAAAAACCCAATAAAATATTATTAAAAAAAAAAAATTACAGCCTTGGAAGCCCTGTGGGGCAGTTCTACTCTGTCCTATAGAGTCACTGAGTCAGAATTGACTTAATGGCAATGGGTTTGGTTTTGGTTTGAGGTGGGTGGTTAGTTGCTATTCAGATCTCTGTATGGCTTTTTCTGTCATAGATTGGCACTAGGAGATTGGTTTTAGGGAAAGCCTGACTTTTCAAATGGAACAGCTTTAATCGATATTTCGTATTGGAGTATAGTAGAGCAACAGTTCTTAAGCTTTTTGGTTTCAGAACCTCATTTTATATACTTAAATTATTGAACTTCGCAAAGAGCTTTTGTTTATGTAGATTATGTCTTTCTATATTTACCATATTAGAAATTAAAGCTGAGATCTATAATATGTTTTAAATTCATTTAAAATAACAATAACAAACCAATTATATGCTAGCGTAAATAGCATTTTTGATGAAAATATGCTGTTTTTCTTTATCCTAAAATAATTAGTGAAAAGAATGATATTGTTTTACACTTTTGCGAATATCTTTAATGTTTGGCTTAATAGGTGACAACTAGATTCTTATATCTACTTCTGCATTCAATTTGTTATGATACATTGTTTTGGTTGATATATATGGAGAAAATCCAGCCTCACACAGATATGTAATTAGAAAACGAAAGGGTATTTTTTAATAGTTTTTCCAGATAATTGTGGATATTTTCTTTTATTAGTACACTAGAATTTAACAAGTGGTAGTTCTTTAAAGGTAGTTGCAATATGGAATCTGAAGACATATCAATGAACTTTTTGTTCTCTGTTATATTAAATCCATTGGTCTGTCTTGTACTTTGAATGGATATTTTATTTATGAATGATTTTTATGACATTATGAGTTGTCCATTTAGAAGATAATGGGTTCATTTGAGTAATGCAGATCTTCTGAATGTTGACATATTATATGATTTTAAAAAATCACGTTTGGTAATATCACTACCAATCATTTCAGGAAAGTCTTAAGTATTGGGAAGTTGTCAAGTTTATGGTGGCAGATAACAGGTTTTCCACAATTCTTATTTTTGCATAAAAGACTTATTATCAAGTCCTAAGATATCAGTATCTGGAGAAAAGGTGTGCCAAATGCCTGAATTACTATAGTTTGTCAGTTGTTCTTTTAATTAAACCAAAAACCCACTGCTATAGAGTCGATTACAACTCATAGCGACCCCATAGGGTTTCCAAGGCTGTGAATCTCTGTGGAAACAGACTGCCACATCTTTCTCCCATGGAGATACTGGTGGTTTTGAACTGCTGACCTTTTGGTTAGCAGTCACCCGCTTTAACCGCTGCGCCACCAAGGCTCCCTCTTTTTATTAAAATGGTGTTTAATGAAAAAAAGTGTCTAGTTTAAAAGCTTGCAGCTGAAACAATTGCACAAGTGCTTTACCTTGAGACAACCGTAATACTTCAGTATGCAGCATATTTTTCTGTGTATTTTAAAAAATGATTTGTTTTTTGTAGTTGTTGAGAATATACACAGGAGAACATACACCAACTCTACAGTTTCAGCATGTACAATTCAGTGACACTAATTACATTCTTCGAATTGTGCATCCATTCTCACCCTTCTTTTCTGAGTTGTTCCTCTCTGATTAACATAAACTTACTGTCTCCTATGTTTCCTGTCTTATCTTTTGAGTTGCTGTTTTCAGTTTGATGCCGTACAGATACATCTTAAAAGAGCATGATGCTCAAGGCAGATACTTCTTTACTAGTTAAGCTAAACTATTGTTTCGTTTTAAGAAGACTTCAGGGGATATTTTTGGTGTAAAGATTATCTCAGGGCAGTAGTTTCAGTGGTTCATCCAGCCTCCATGGCTCCAGGAAGTCTAGATTCTATGAGAGTTTGAAATTCTGTTCTACATATTGCCCCTTTTGATTAGGATTCTTCTATGTTGTTGTTGTCAGGTGCTGTTAAGTCAGTTCCGACTCATAGTGACCCTACGTACAACAGAACAAAACACTGCTGCCCTGACGTGGGCCATCCTCACAATTGTTGTTATGCTTGAGCCCTTTGTTGCAGCCACTGTGTCATTCCATCTCGTTGAGGGTCTTCCTCTTTTTCGCTGATCCTCTACCAAGTCTGATGTCCTTCTCCAGGGACTGATCCCTCCTGATAACATGTCCAAAGTACATGGGACAAAGTCTCACCATCTTCGCTTCCAAGGAACATTCTGACTGTATTTGTTCTTCTGGTAGTCCATGGTATATTCGATATTTTTCATCAACACCATAATTCAAAGGCATCGATTCTCCTTTGATCTTCCTTATTTATTGTCCAGCTTTCACATGCATATGGATGATTGAAAATATGGCTTGGGTCAGGCACACTTTAGTCTTTAAAGTGACATCTTTGCTTTTTAACACTTTGAAGAGATCTTTTGTAACAGATTTGCCCAATGCAGTGCATCTTTCGATTTCTTGACCGTTGCTGCCATGGGTGTTGATTGTGGATTCAAGTAAAATGAAATCCTTGACAACTTCAATCTTTTCTCCATTTATCATGATGTTGCTTATTGGTTCAGTTGTGAAGATTTTTGTTTTCTTTAGGTTGAGGTGTAATTCATACTGAAGGCTGTGGTCTTTGATCTTCAGCATTTCAAGTCTTCTTTACTTTCAGTAAGCAAGATTGTGTCATCTGCATAATGGAGGTTGTTAATCAATCTTCTTCTAATCCTGATGCCCCATTCTTCTTCATATAGTCCAGCTTCTCAGATTATTTGCTCATCATACAGATTAAATAAGTGTGGTAAATTGATACAACCCTGATGTGCACTTTTTCTAATTTTAAACCATGCAGTATCCCCTTGTTTTGTTCGAACGACTGCCTTTTGGTCTAAGTACACGTTCTCTGTGAGCAACAATTAAATGTCCTGGAATTCGCATTCCTTGCAATGTAATCCATAATTTGTTGTGATCCACGTGGTTGAATGCCTTTGCACAGTCAATAAAACACAGGTAAACATCTTTCTGGTATTCTCTGCTTTCAGCCAGGATCCATCTGACATCAGCAGTGATATCCCTGGTTCCACATCCTCTTCTGAATCCAGCTTGAATTTCTGGCAGTTCCCTGTCAATGTACTGCTGCTACCACTTTGAATGATCTTCAACAAAATTTTACTTGTGTGTGATATTAATGATATTGTTCAATAATTTCTGCATTCTCTTGGGTCACCTTTCTTTGGAATGGGTACATATATGGATCTCTTCCAGTCGGTTGGCCAGGTAGCTGTCTTCCAAATTTCTTGGCATAGACAAGTTAGCACTTCCAAGTGCTGCATCCATTTGTTGAAACATCTCAACTGGTATTCCATCAGTTCCTGGGGACTTGTTTTTTTCCAGTTCCTTCAGTGCGGCTTGGACCTCTTCCTTCAGTACCATCAGATCTGAATCATATGCTACCTCCTGAAATGGTTGAATATCGACCAATTCTTTTTGGTACAGTGACTCTGTGTATTCCTTCCATCTTCTTTTGATGCTTCCTGTGTCGTTTAGTATTTTCCCTGTAGAATCCTTCACTGTTGCAGCTTGAGGCTTGAATTTTTCTTCAGTTCTTTCAGCTTGAGAAATGTTTGCATATGTCTTTATAATACTTGAGCTGCCCTTTGAAATCGTCTGTTCACCTCTTTTAGTTCATCATTTCTTCCTTTTACGTTACCTACTCTACTTTCTTAAGTGAAATGAGTGTTACTGCCTTGATGGTGCTAAGGTACCAGCAATTTTACCCATCAATTCTTTTTGTACCACTAGTACAAATGTGCACACAGTGAAAGAGCAAATAATGTAATATTACTGTGAAAATGATTTTGACCCTACAGGCCGCCTGAAAGGGTCTCAGATTCTGCAGACCTCACTTTGAAAACCACAGAAATACAGTATTATCATTTTATGGTTAAGATTGCTGTTGGATTAAACCTTAAGTGCTATCTATAGGTAGGATTTTTTTTTCTTTTTTAGGAGGTTTACAGAATCGTTGGAATTGTGGTAAGTAGCGTATGCAGAAGTGGCCAGTAAGTAGAGGTTATAATTCTTAGTGCTTTCAGTTGAATGTGACACGGGTTTTACTCATTTTACAATTGCTGTGTAAGCAAGTTCCATCATAATTTACTATCAGGCTTTCTGATAGATTACATTTCTCTTCCTATACTGTAAAAGTTTATAATTTAAAAAGATAACTTTTTATATAAATTATACTTCTATTCAAGTGCCGTTTAAGTTGGAATTTATTTCTTCCTCTTTTGATGTTGTTTTAACACGAAGTAGTTGTAATATAAGGAAGATTAAACTAGGAGTAGTGGTTCACACGTTTTCACTTTGAGAAATTCAATTTTTAAGATTATGTTTCCTTAAAAACTTTTAAAAAGCTCTCTATTATGGCAATTTTGCATAAATTCACATCAAAGTAGACATAATGGTATAATGAACCCCCCACATACCCAGTTTCATCAGTTGTCAATTCATGGACAATCATGTTTCTTTATACCCCCATTCACTTCCTCCTTACTCCTCATTGATTATTTTGAAGCAAATGCCAGACGTCACATATTTCATTCTTAAATAATTTGATATTTATATCTCAAAAATAAGAATTTAAGATTGAAATGAGAAAAAAATACTATATTTTGGTTTCTTTTAGAAGAAATGTACTGACAACCTATTAGTGCCTAATAGAAATTTTCTTAACCTCGTTGACATTTTTTGCACCTGTATGTTCTCTGATTAAACAGTTACCGTCTAGTCAGCTCCCACTCGTGACAACCCCATGTGTGTCAGAGTAGAACTGTGCTCCATAGGATTTTCAATGACTAATTTTTCAGAAGTAAGTTTCCATACCTTTCTTTTGAGGCACCTCTGGGTGGACGCAAACCTCCAGTCTTTTGGTTTGCAGCCAAATGCGTTAACAATTTCCACCACCCAGGGGCTCTGTTCTCTGATTAGAGATGCCTAATAATATATGATGGAGCACTTTTGGGAATGATTATTTTCTCCTTATCACCGTGCTCACTGGTGTCGCTTTGAGATTTTGCTAATAGACATGGCAGGAAGAGCAAATATAGATGAGTAGGAGCTTGGAAATTTCTGAAAGGTTTTGGGTTTTTCAGGATGAAGAGACTCGGCATAGCCTTGAGTGCATCCAGGCAAATCAAATCTTTCCCAGGAAGCAGCTGATCCGGGAGGATGAGAATCTTCAGGTAATTATAGGTTCTTGACTGTACAATAAGTATTTAACATCATAGTAACAATGTAGAAGAGGCAATGAATGAAGTAATAATGCCCTATGTATTTTTTCTTAAACCAAACACATAGTATAAATGCATACTGGAAGACATCCCTCAATTTAGAAAGACTATTTCCTGAGAATTCAGTGTTTGAAATGGTCTCCTCTGTATCATTCCTTTAGTAAAATTTGAATAATTAAGTATATTTGAATTCAGTGGTTGTGAATGTATCCTCTTTAGGTTTCTTACCCACTTATACACTGTGTTATAAAAGCTTGAGTAACAGAGAATTTACCACCCATTCATCTGACCTGTGTTTGAAAAGTGCTTTACTGCTTCAGAACTCTGAAGGGTTTCTTCTTCATTTTGAAGGTTCCTTTCCTTGAACTTCATGGAGAGAGCACAGAGTATGTGGGCCGTGCTGAGGATGCCATCATTGCCCTTTCTAATTACAGACTTCACATCAAGTTCAAGGAGTCTCTTGTAAATGTAAGCAATTACCAACTGTTCTCCCACTAAGGTAGTTGGAGAAAGAAAGTAAAAAAATTGGTGTTAATGTTCTCAAAGAGAAGTGAGTCATACAGGGTTGTGTATTAAAGCACTGTATGCTCTTCTTTTTTAAAAATTTTAACATTTATGGGACACTAGATTAGCAAGCAACTCTTATGCTTGATTTAAAATGATGCATGTAGTTGTCAGTTGGTATGTAAGGTGTCCATTGTTTAGTACTGAACGATTTGCACTAGGTAATGCTGTATCATTCAGCTTTATAAGGGTCCAAAGGCTGTATAGACTTTGGTTTCTCAGTCTTTAGTAGTTACCAGCTGCCTCAGTTGAGATGATATCCTGGGCCTTAATGTCAAATAATGAGATGTGCCTTGAGCGCAAAGCTGACTCTCATTATAGGATGAAGTTGCTCTAATGGCTTCTTAGTGGTATAAGTATAGATGTTAAGTACAATGTATATTTGCCTAATGGACTATATATTACTGAAGGAAAGGGAGACTCTCAATTCTCAAGAGTGCCTTTACTCTTTTCAGTTACGAGGGCACTCTCAGTGAACTGGTTCTTGCAGTGCGCTGCTGTCATTAATAGTCTTCCATGAAACCACAAAGGACAGTTCATGTGCTTCCACCAAATGAATGCTTTCTTCTTCATCTGCCAATATTGTGGCTCTCTGCACTTCAGTGCTAGCATAGAAGAGTATGTTATGATGCCTTATGACAGCTCAGGACTCCATTCAGATTGTGTGTGTTTTTAGGTTCCTTTTGGGATTCTTTGAAATCTGTCACTTATGTTCATTATACTCAGCAGTCCAAAAGTTACCCAAACTCCTCAGTCACATTCTTTCATTTGTCAAAAGATTCAAGTGACTGCAGTTGATCTTTGTTAAGCATTTACGTCCAGGAGCCATTCTGGCTAGAATTCCCTTTAGCTTCTGTGTTGGGCTGTGATCATATGTCTTGTTCAGCTGACTCAGGTAGCTGTTAAATCAGTTTTCTGTCAACCAGCTAAAAATACACACCAGATTTACCAAGGAAAGAGGCATGCTGTTCTTTTATACCATATAGCTAGGTCCAGAAGGGTCCATTTGGAATTGAGTAATAGTGATGAATGGGAAGAGGGTGGAAACACCTATAAAATCCCAGCAATTCCCCACTAGCTACTGTGAAATTAATGGTAGTAATAATTAGTCGAGCTGTCCAATTTAATTTTGTGTTCTTTCAGTGTTTAAATGGCCGTAATCAATGAAATTGTAATTAAATTGCATGTGTTGATGATAAAGTTTCATATGCTTGCATTTCTCCTTATAGTCTTCTATTTCTCAGCTTATCAGTTTATGACCAAGTATTTCAGAAACTTATTTTTCGATCTATTTGGGAGTAACATCTGTTGGGAAGGAAGCATGAATTTGATCGTGTCATTCACTGGCTCAGTTAAGCTCTTCAGTGTTTATTACTTCTAAGATGAAAATGAAATTACTTAGCATGGTGTCAAGGTCGTTTGTGATCCTTGATCCCTGCCAGCTTTTCCGTCTGCTGCTTTGTATTTCCTTTTCTGTCCTTAGTATTGGTAAAACCAGCCTCGGAATATTCAACCATGCCCCACACATCTTTATTCTCTCCTCTCCTGCCCAGCGAACTTATCTTCATTCTTCAAAACCCAGTTCAGGTGGTAACTCCCTCTGTGAAGCCTTTCTCAGTCCCAGTTTCCTCCCTGACAGTTAATTACACTCTCCTCTGGTTTCTTCTATGTCTTGAACTTACCTTTACAAGATTTACTAGATACCTTGTAATTTTTTGGTTATTCTTACTTGTATCTTCAGGATCCAGCGTGTCTCCTGGTGCCATGATACTCAGTAAATTTTAAGTGAATTGAAGTTAATATCGGTTGGAAATGGACATTAGATTATTTTCCCCATTTTGGGTTTAAAGGTTTTTTTCTTTTTTTTTCCAAATACATTAGTTTAATTCCAAGTGGTATAGAATTCAGGGCATAACAAAGACTGAAGAGCAGACTCTGGTAGTATTCTGGGCTGGATTTACTCTAATCTCATAGCCAAGATAGGAATGACTGAATGAGAAGAACTACAGAGAAGATAAACCATTATATGATTATTTTTTGTATAAAAGTTTATTCTTAAATGTACAGTAGGCTCCAAGATGATGCTTCATTCTAGCTATGGGTGGCAACAGATATTATAGCAGGGAATCCAGATGTTTACACAGGAATGGCAATCAAAAGTCACCATTTCCTCAGTCACAAAGAACAATGTACTTTTTTGCCAGGATTCTTGATACCGCCTGTGGCCAGGGGTAATTCCTTGTGACCTTTGCTTTTAGCTCCTTGAGTTTCTTTTTTTTTTTCTTTTTTTCATTGTTGTAGTTAAATGAAGTTTACATTTCAAGTTAGTTTCCCATACAAAATTTTATATAAACATTGTTATGTGATCCTAATTGCTCACCTCATTTTGCGACAGCACACTGCTCCTTCCTGCCCCTGATTCCCCATG